CCAGTCCACTTCAGGATATCCTGGCAGTGCCACATTGTTGCAGCTAGGACAAGTAGTAGAATTGGGTGAGAATCGAATGTGAGGATTACCACAGGCATGTGGTGCTAGTTATTGAAGTGAATTTGATAAGATGTGGTGAGAAAATCCACTAAACATCACAGAGAGAAAAACTCCAGGAAACATAACCAAATTGATATTAGTCAAAAACAGAAGACAGCTCTAGGAGTTGATATTCCTAGCCATTTGCTCCCATCTTCTTCTGAGGGATATCCCTCTAAAGGACCATGTAACACTGCGGTATTTCTCTTCCTACACTTGTAAGACTCAAGTGCCATACTTGTATGCCCTGGTGTTCAGTTTAGAAGAATTTCCATTGCAGCAATATTTTTTCGTCTGTCTTCCTTTGAGGAGCAGCCTTCCTTTAACAATGTGTGGTTATCTTATGTGGTCTGCAGCTACGCCGCCTGAGCTTTGAGAAGGAGATGGAATGATGAATAAATATATTAAAGACGGCACAGAGATAGCATTATAGCATTTAAATGAATTGGGGGATGAATAACATTTTTAACCTATCTGGTTCAGTGTTGGAGAACATGAAATTTATGCTCAATCTGTTGTTAGTTATTTAAGAGGAATGGTAAATATTGGCCAAGTCATGGAGAACATACCTGCTCTTCTTTGAACAGTAAAATGGCATCTTTTAAAATTGACCTGAGGCTAAGGCAATGACAGATGACAGCTCCAACACAGCACTCTCTCAGTATTGCACTGAAGTACAGCTTGGATATTAAGCTCAAGTTTCTGAAGTAGAACTTGTCCAAATGACCTTATCGCTCAGAAATGAGGATACTGACACTAACGCCAGACTGACAATTAGGTAATGTACACAATTCACATACAAGGCTATAAATGGCTGTGTTTACTGCTTTCATAACTGCAGGAGGCACCCTTACCATCCACGCAGTTGCAAGACCTGTGATAGCTGCCTGCACCAAAAAATAGGACCATTTGCAGTAGTGAGTGACACAAATATATTTTAACAAGTGCAGCACCAATACAATACATTTTTTAAAATCAACGTTTTAATTCAAATCAATTCAATTCCAATCCGGGGATCATGTTTTGTTCACTTGTCTGCTCCCAACACTTGGCTGCTTCCCTCTCCACCTCCCTGGCCATCCCATTCCCAACTCCTCACTGCCTCCTTCCATAGTGGCCAGGAAGGTTGTGCGCAGATTGATAGGCAAAGCCCACAAACAGGGCAACAATGAAGCAAGCCAGATTTTAAAACAGTTACGTTATCTCCTGTTATTAATTGCAGTGATCTCAGTATTGCTGTGGTGCCACAAGTGGTGAGTCTGCAAACTGTGCTGGCTGATAAACATTCTGGATAATGGGTGTTTCTGGATCTCAGAGTTCTGGTATGGGAATCTTATAGAATATTGGGGCAGTTGTGGGAGGGGGACAGGCACGGTGATGGTGGTGGCATTTCACGTAGGATACAGGACACATGTTAAAAACACAGAAAAATCTGCAAAATATGGGACATTTGGTCACCCTGGTGAGTGATTTTTAATTGGGATACTCCTTGTTATCTAAAAATGCTCATGCAGCTCCTCAAATCTATATCTGAAAATCTCAACTGGGATCCTACAACTGATGCAGACCGTAAAGTGCATACTTACCTGCCTGCTCAATCAGTTACAGGGAGCCCTGAAAATTGCATTAAGTGGTCCCAAAGCATCAATGAGGGTAGCTTTGGTGACCAAGCTAATGTGTAAATATGCAATTGACAATTGAGAAGTGTTTCCTTTTCAAAGGAAGATCTATTCACATAGTCTTGCTCCAGAACCCAAGGCACAGCTGACATCTGCTGGGATCTTGCGAGTCAGGTTAAGAACCAATTTGATTAAATTGTCAATTATCCAATCAAAGACACATTATTCAATAGCTCTCATCTGTTTCAGAAATCCTTGATTAAAAAAATATTCTGTTAGAAACAGGTCTCAAAGTTAAAAAATGTCTCCATATGTTTTCATAGGTAAGACTATAAGTTTCCAGTGAGGCTGGTTTTACGATTAAACAAACATGATGAAAACTGCAGTATCAAGCTGGCAAAAATTCTGATGTCAAACTACTGATCTGTGAGGAAGCAGCATTACACAATTTGCACTTATACCTGTGGTTAAAGAGCTCATGTCATGAAAAAATATTTGGCAACTTTTTTTAACTGAAAGTGGAAAACACCCATTAGATATATGATACTAATCACGTACTTGGGGTTGGATAGCTAGATTTGTGAAGCAGAGTGACACCGACAACATGAGTTCAATTCCCATACTGACTGAGTTTGCCATCAAGGACTCATCTTTTCAACGTCGCCCCTTGCCTGACACGTGGTGACCCTTAGGTTAAATCACCAACCGTCATCTCTCTCTAATGAGAGAGCAGTCCTGATTCTCTAGGACTATAGTGACTCTGCATTCATGTATTAATGATGTGTTGATATTATTTAAGTCATCATGTATGCCTCTTTAAATTGAAAGTATCGTCAACGTTTGACTATACTAGATATCAATAAAAAATGTTAGCTTCTTATATTTTTCCTAAACAAGTTGAATAATGAAATAAAATTCAATTTCGATTTGCCACTGCTTCCTAAATAAGATAAATACTTTTCACCTTTCAGAAAATGATTGCCTTAGTAAATGATTGCTAAATTTCTTCTTAAGAGGATTTTCTTTCTTAAAATGTAAATCTATTCCATCATCGAAACATCAATACTATTATGTAGTGCAAATATATACCTCATATGAATGCATTCATTATTAAAAAGGTGCAAATGTTATTCATAGAAACTCATTCCCTATGATTTTTGTTGAAATATTTCTCACTGGAAATTTGCCATAAACATGTGTTGTATTTTTGATTATCAGATTTGCAACACCAAGAGGCCCACAGACTGCAAAGATTGTGTGAAGAAACTGTAACTATTATTTTAATGTTTGGCTGGGCTGAAGTGACATTTTGAAAAGTCAAGAAGAATGAAGCTATGCTGTGAATACTCCACATTTTCATCTGCTCTTTTATTATTTTTGGCATAAATGGATTTGCTATTTTAAAAAAGAAATCACTATTAATTAAATAAGTGTTATTATGTTGGAAACACAACTTTTTTCTGTTCATAGAAGCCTTTTGTTTCTGAAAAGATTTTAATATGATGATCGCTACTGCCAAAAATCAACAAAACAGTTCCAGAATTATGTGATAACATACCAAGATAGAGATAAAATTTCACTAACTGCATTCATTACAGCTTTGTATTAAGGATTCAGAAGCCAATCGTTTACGTTGCAGGGCATTGTCAGAGGCTTTATTTAACATCTGTCAGAATTTCAATTTGGCTCGCTAAACCTAGAGATGTGCAGCAAATTATTTCCAAGTGGATAGGTGAAAATAACCTTTGTACGTGCTGCTCTGGTTTTGTTCTTCATTCCAAAAGCTGTTTCTCATTTCAAAATCTGAAGAGGTTATGGTGACACAGCTACATAATTGTTTTAGGCTGTGCTGGCCTGATGTTGTGATTAGGAATTTTGAAACCTGCATTATGTCCTGATGCAGTCAAAGTCTGAGTAGACTTTCCGCACACATAGAAGTTTTAGCTCTATTCTCTAGCTGCTGGGTGCCATGAGATAGAATGTGAAATTATCATTCTTGCAGCAAAACAAAGAAAGGGTGCCAAACACAAATGAGGCCATGTGTTTTATCCAAACAAACAAACTCCCAGTCCAGATATTTTCAATTGAGATGAAGCTTTTTCTCATTGGGTGACTGAGGACCCACAGCAAACTATCAAATTAATTACCCAGGAGGTGACTAATGTCATAAAGATTAAACAAATCAATATATTAATTTAATTTGCTGAAAGAACATCATGTAAATATTTATTAGAATTTACATAAATTTTGTTATCTTTGTATATGTTAATTTTGCCTGTTTTTGATTCAAATTGGTTCAAGTTTTGTAAACACTTCAAAAGAACTACAATGACTACTGTAAACATTTAAATTGTGTAAAATAGATTAAACACTATTTATCTGTTGACAGTTATTGTAGCTTACTTCGCCTTATTGAACTGTTAAATTCTAAATAATATTACAGTTCAGATTATGTAGAGACTTTAAATAAAATGCATTCATACTGGTGTTCAAACCAGATATCTGCTTTTGTACAGTTTACACATGGAGAATAATTTTCCATACCAATAACATTAATATTAATATTAAGCAGAATGTGGATAACTTTAATTTCTAAAAAGAAGCTCTCCTAGGATAGTAAAACAAAGTCTGTGACATTTTCTTATTGAGAAGGTGAAAATACTTAAAGCTTAATGACATTAATAATTCTTTACTGAATGAGATCTTTAAATCTTTCACTTTGCTCATGATGACCGGGATGCAACAGAAAACTTAAAAGACAGGCTTCAAGGATATTTATAGCTTGTGAAAATCATGCTCATCAAATTAGAAAAAAGACTTTTACCAATTCTATATATATATATATATATATATATATATATATATATAATTATATATATAAATCTTTATCTTGTCAATATTTGCTGTTTGTTTTCAAATAAGCTACCAGCAGTTGAGAGACGGGTAATACAAAGGCTTTTTTTAAACCCAGCCGACTGCTTCATTACCTTTATATCAGCTTCAACAAAACTAAACTAATTCATAAGGCATATTGATTTTGTCCTTTACCCTCTCAGGTGTGTAAGGAGAAGAATATACCAAGCAAAGTATTACAGAAATATGAAGAGAAAAAAGTTATCTCAGCTAATTTTTCACAGTACAAAGCTCAGTGATCTAACATGAAGTATTAGCTTGAAATCCCGAGGATTTAAATGTTCTCAAATGACAGCCACGCTTTCACTGTACAGTTTTCTCCAGCACCTTCTCATAAAAATACCACTTGCAAGATAAGATGTCCCTTACCTTCAACAGTTGCTTCCAGCAGACCAAACTGTTCCAACACTTTAACAAACAACACAATCACCACCAAAACTGCTATCATCTCAAGCCCTTCCAAGTTCATGGTGATCAGGTCATTGTCTCATTGTGCTGCTGAGAAATGTGTTTTGTTTTTTTCAGCTGGGCTCTGTTTGTGAGGCCATCAAACTCTGTTAAAGCAACAGTTCAGACAGTGAACACATCCTGTATATACCAAGACAGGCCGGGAGTGGCAGGCAGATAACTCAGGCCTGTCAGGATTATCCACTCTCCTGTTATCTCTGTTATACAGAAAAAGAGCTGTGCATGAACAAACACATGGATCACCCAAAGATTTGGGAGGTCGTCCACTAAAACGCCCTGGAAAGACTGGATCAGGTGTGATAGCTAGGCTTCTGGGGTTTCAAATCTTTTTATTGCCAATGCTGCTGGGTGGCATTGTTGTGGATGATCAGTTGCCTTGGCAACAGGAAAGAGCAATTGAGTGTGGATTCACATTGGATGCTGGGTGAAAATAAGACCCTGAGTATCTGAAGAAAAGTGAGCTTAAACATTACGATGTGACAGAACAGCTTTTAATGTGTTAATTTCCTCCTGATTGAAGTCTACATTGCAGACTGAAAATAAACACTCTGCTGGGCACAAAAAAGTACCTTTGAAGAGATTTTTGAACTGAAGTTTACTTTACTGGAATATTCTATTGTTATTTCTTTCTGTCCAGTTGAAAGCCTGTTGAATGTTCCAGGTTTTGAAAGGTAAATGCACCACACAATGTTGTCAATTAATTCATTAATTGTAAATTATGTTTGCCCTGTTATTTAATCATTTACTAAAGATTTACTATCTTTTCTTTTTGAAACTGACTGCATTAGCGTCAGACAGATGTTAGGCAGAGACGGAATGATTAATGTCAATTGCACCCTTTAGCTCCAGGAAGCAGAATATTTATATTAGCATCAGTGCATTCGAAATCATTCAATGTGATGAGTAGTGGAAGTCAAACTAATGCAATGTGCAAAGATCAGGGGAACCAGCAAGTCATAAGCTGGGTAGCCAGAAACTATTACCATGGACAAAAGCAAGAAAATAAACTTTAACAACAGACAGTGCATGCAGCCATCTGTTCCTTGCAGCTTGTCAATTGACAGCAAGAGTCATATAGATTACGATTACAATCCTGAATAATATCAAAATGATTGAATATAGAAATATTTCTGTATTAACAGAAGGTTCTGAATATTCGAAGTCAGATTGTTGTATTTATTTATGTCTCTTTTAAAAGATAATATTGAACAATTAATTTTCAGTTGAAGAGTTTAAGACCACTCATTCTGTTTTCATTTATCTCACAAAATTGTAAATGAGGAAGTGATCATAGTTTCTGCATGCCAAAGCTCACTTGGAAACAAATTTGTGCTGCAGCATCAGTCATTTCAAATTTGTATTCAAAAAACATTTCAGAGTGTCTTCTTTTGAAAATTACAGTGTTCATTATCATGCAACTTTTCGAATCCACTGCTTTATTTTTCTGTTTGCATGTACAAGTAGGATTGTTCCCAAAATCTATGAACATTAAATATTTTTGATCCTTTTTATAGCTATGGGTGAATATGCACAAAACAGCAGAGAACTGCAGGAAATCGTGAAGAAATAGGCATCCTGAAGAATAGAAGAAAATCTCTGAAACGCCATAGGGATCTGATAGTCTACAACAGGACATATTCTAGCCTAATTGTTGGTGATCTTGGGAAGGAGGGAAATTCTATTAATTTGAATCTGAAAGGTTGGTATTCGTGCCACTTGGTGTGGCTCTAAGGCAATAATTACTGTAGAGGTTCGAAATTGAGACAATCATCTGCAGGAAGTATCTGTGGAAGTATCTCTGGATGGTCCTTGAATTATCTGCCACGTTTGAAACCAGAGAAAAGAGAGAAAGTAGCAATCCAAATCCTGACTCATGGCCCCAGGGATTTCCACCTTCTGCTTCTAGCCTTGAAAGGGGTAATTGGATGCCCAGTCTCTCACAAGGTGCAAAAAAGTCCGACATCAGGCAAAGATACGGGAAATCTGGGTTCTTGCCCAATTTCTCCAGAACTCCTTTTGGATTTTGACAAGAGTCTACTGAATGGGTTGTAGATTTTTACCATCACTTACATGATTCTAATTTTCTGTCTTTCAAATAATTGAATCATATGGTATGAAAACTACCCTAATGCTCACTATCTACACCAATGTTTTTCTCCATGTTAACCATCTCATCATACTTTCCTGATTGCTACCTATATGTTGCAATATAAATCTTAAAAGATATTCTCTACTTTTGTATTTTTTTAAAAGAAGCCGTTTAAACCAAAAAAAATCCTTAATGTCAACAACCACACATACAAATTATTTCTATTTGCTGCTTCCTTTTTTTGTCATATGAGATTTGTTTCCACTTGATAGCATCTCACCAAGTGGAAACAATCTATCATGCTGTACATTATTGCTGCATAATCTTCAAGACCTCTTTCAGGTTATCCTTGATCTTTGCATTTCCAGTGAATGAAGCTCTAACTTTTCATTCATACTTTCAAACTGAAACTGCTGAACCATGGCAGCTGTGTTACTGAATGTATACAACACAATCACCATTTGCTGTTATATCCTTCCTATAATCATGAGCTCAAAATCATACACTATTATCAATCTGTAGCCAAACTAAAGTATCGCACGAAGTTTTACATTAACTCCTTGCCATTTGTAAAAACAAACATTTCATTTGATAATCAAGTCTTTCAAAGTCTTTCAGAGTTGCTCTCTGCTATTCTTCACCATTTAAGATCTCGCTGTATGCTTTGTGTTGTTCTTCTTGCTGCTAATTGCATTGAACTGTACTTGCTTTTTGGGTGCACACGATGCTAACCCAACCATATCCATTTATTCTCTTTCTTAACTTTCAGCATAATTTGGCATTAAGTCTGACCGACCAAAACCAACCCCTGTCATGTGCCATCAACAAATTTGGATATCATTCCCTGAATTTCAATTTCTAGGTTACCTACGTATGTAATGGTAGCAGACGGTCCTCAGGGTAGCATCCCATGCCACTTTCAGCCATTCCATCCATTCCTCCACCCTAAGATCATAAAAGTAGATGTTTGCTGATGACTGCACAGTGTTTAATACCATTACAACTCCTCCATCACCGAAACAGTTGATGTTCATAAGCAGCTTGATTTGAACAACATTAGATTTGCGGTGATAAGGTGCAAATAAAATTCCTACTACATTAGTGCCAGGCAATGACCTTCTCTAACAAGAGAAAACCTAACCATCTCTCCTTAATGTTCAAAGGCATTACCAATGCTGATCAATCTCACCATCAACATCCTTGGGGGAGAGGGGGGGAGGTTACCGTTGACCAAAATTGAATTAGACTCAAGACTCAGGAGTGTGATGGAAAACTCACCATTTGCCCACATGAGGGCAGTTTCGGACTCAAGAAAACATTCGAGAATCTTGACACTACATAGGATAAAGTAACCCACTTAAGTGGCACTCTATTCACCGCCTTCAACATTTACTCCCTCTACCAGAACACACAATTTGGAATTTAACCCTCAGATTGGTGGGCCTTTCCACCAAGAGGAGGCTGTTCCTGACCTGATTCAACACTAATCTGGCATTGGGGTACACACTATTGTCAGAAGTTATCATTTTTCCAGACAGAAGGACAACCATATGTATTGACCAAAGTCAGAACTGCAGGATACAAGGCTAAAAAATTGTCACTGGAGTCTACAGTGAAGATAGCAGAGGTGGGATCATCATGGTCAGTTGGGGACATCCCACTAAGGGCTGGTTAGAATGGATTACTTAGTTTTAAGGACAGGCAGGCATCTTCATATATAGGCAGACCTTGCCTCTAGTGGATATCTCTGTTCGGCACAATGCGAATTCTCCGTTTGGCACAAGCTGCCCAAGTAAGAAGGATTTACTGGTCCCACCATGCCATTGTCTTACCCACCAGGCTTAGCTGGATAATTTTTCACATGATGTTACTTTGGTAAACTGTAAAACTTACTTTAGATCCCATGGCCGCACTATTTGTGTCACCACCAGCCTGTGAGACCATTCCTCAGCGATAGCAATTTATCATAGAGTCCTACAGCACGGAGGCAGGACCTTTGACCCAATCTGATCCATGCTGACCAAAATGTCCATCCATGCTAACCCCAGTTCCCTGCACTTGGCCCATATCTTTCTAAACCTTTTCTATACATGTATTTATCCAAATGCCTTTTAAATGTTGTTAATGCACCTGCCTCAACCACTTCCACTGGCAGCTCATTCCATATGCGTACCACCCTCTGTGTAAAAAATGTTGCCCCTCAGGTTCCCATGTAATTCTTTCCCCTCTTACCTTAAACCGATGTCCTCTAGTCCTCGATTCCCTATTCCTGGGAAAAAGACTGGGAGTATTCACCCTATCCATGCCTCTCATGATTTTATACGCTTCTATAAGATTCCCCCTCAATCTTCTATGCTCTAAAGAAAACAGTCCTAGCTTGTCCAACCTCACTCTATAACTCAGTCCCTTCCGACCTGGCAACATCTTTGTAAATTTCTTCTGTACTCTTTCCAGTTTAGTAACATCTTTCCTATAGCAAAGTGACCAAAACTGAACACAACACTCCAAGTGTGGCCTCACCAACATCCCGTACAACTGCAACATAACTTCTCAACTGCTATACTCATTGCCCTGACTGATGAAGGCCTGTGTGCCAAAAGCCTTCTTCACTGCCCTGTCTACCTGTGACTCCACTTTCAGAGAGCCCTGCTGCTGTTCAATCTTGGGAGTCCAGAGTTTGCTGTACCAGCAGTAGCCATGATCATCTGTGGTGTGAGGTTGTAGAAATGCTTGCCGAGCTGGTGGGTTTGGTTGCAAATGTTTCATCGCCTTGCTAGGTAACATGGTCAGTGTGCCTACTGTGAAGCATCGGTGTTCTGTCCCACTTGTTATTTATCTGCCTCAGTTTGCTGGGGTGGTTGGTGTTACTTCCAGTTTTGTTTCTCCGTGGTTTGTACACAGGGTCTAATTCAATGTGTTTGTTGATAGCGTTCCGCTTGGAATACCAGGCCAAATATACAAGCAGGACATAACACTGACGCTTCGCCGGAGGTGCACTGACGATGTTACCTAGCAGGGTGATGAAACGTTGCAAACAAACCCACCGGCTCAGTGAGCATGTCTACAACCTCATCTACAACCCGAGCTACGAACCTTCTTGAAAACTTCTCTGCTGTACTGTCATGTTCCAGAGCTGCTGGCCTCTACTCTGGGACATCCTATTCTGGGATCCTCAGTCACGAGGGAGTCCAGTGGGTGTC